AAGGAGCCTGGAACCGCCTTATTTGGCATCGGCAGCGGATCCTGTCGGGCTGCCATCTCCCAGCTCACGGCACAGGAATCTGCCAGGAAGCCGGAGAGGTGTCACAGCAGGGTCTCCTTGTGCCCGGCCCGGCGGGCAGAGCGTGGCACGGGGCTGGCACGGGGCTGGCCTGGGGCTCCGTGGCTGTGCTGTGCCATGTGCCGTGTCATGTGCCGTGCCGTGCCATGCTGCACTGTGCTATGCTCTGCCTTGCCATGCCACACTGTGGCATGCCATGCCATTTAATGTCACACATTGCCATGTCATGCACTGTGCCACGTCATGCCACGCTGCACTGTCACACTCACGTCATGCTGTGCTCTGCCACGCCATGAAATCTCATGCCATGCTGCATGATGCCACAGTGCAACACGTCACACAGTGCCGTGCCATGGCACAGTGCATCACTCCGTGCCATGCCATGTGGAAGTGACCCCTGCTGTGCCACACCATGTCGTGTCACTTGAGGACCCACACCAGCCCAGCCCCTCACCTGGTCGACGTTCTTGAGCTGCAGCCCCGTCTTCCCCCGCTCGTCCTTGCAGAGGTGGATCTCCCGCACACCCGGCTTGATCTCTGCCCGCCGCAGCCCCGCGTTGTTCCCAGTCAGAGGGGCCACCAACTGTCCCGGGGAGGGCCCGGCGGGGGTCAGGGCCTGTGGTGCAATCGGGGGGTCAGAGGGTCTAACAGGGACGTGGAGTGCTGTGCACATCAGCCCCCAGGGGGATACTGCCCCTCATGCCAGGCAGGATATAGCCCTGCAGGGACCCCCAACCAGTGGTGCTGTGGTCTGGGGACACCACGCAGGGCAGGTGAGAGACACCAGCTCAGACACCTACTGTGCTGCCTTCTGTGAGCAGGTTCTTCTGGATCTCTTCACTGGAGAGAGCGAGCCCCATGTAGTTCTCCAGCTCAGCCAAGTTGGGGTACAGCACGGGTGGCTCTGGGACACACACCGAGAGTGGCCTCAGCTCATGGGGTCTCCAACCCACAGGAGACCCCCAGAACCACAGGCAAGGAACATGGCAGGGGATGGACCAGGGGAGGGAAACCCCAAATCGCATCCCCTACCCATGCACCGAGCCATGGGCAGTCTCAGCTGAGCATGCCCCCCCCACCCGCAGCCCCTCCAAA